TATAAATTTAATACTAAGAATATAAATTTAACACTATTTTATTGAAATTTGAGTGTAAAATATCAGGTTATCTAGTGTCTTCTTGTCACATTTAGGCAAATGAATAAGCAAATGGTCAAGTGTATTAGCAAACACACTTCTTTTGTTATTGTTTATAAGTCAATTATTCACACTAAACCACAAAACTGATTAATTGAGTCTCAGATAAGGATATCATGCATGACTACAATGTGAAAGGTACCTTTGAATGCAAAAAGGTATGGCAAAGTCATCATTTTAAAAGAAGGAAACAAAAAAAGAGCTCATTGAGGTAATATTGATAAAACCTGTGAAAGAAAACTTCACGTGGGTATTTAGTTTTTAGCAAAAAAATGCAAAAGCTTTCGATGTTAAATGACTATAGAAGGTAAACCAGTTGATATTCTGTCTCCATGAGAAGAATGTTGAACTAAACAGTCTGGGGATCTGATATTTTATTATTTAGCTGTGAATCTGTTGATAATTCTGCAGTTTGAACCTCAGATTTTTTTTATCTGTAAGGTAAAATTATTTCATTTGATAATGTCCAAGGTTTAATATTCAACTAGAAGATAAATAGCAGAAACATAGATGTGTGATCGAATTCTTATTTCAATTTTTTCCTTGAAGGCATCCATCTTGAAGATGATCTTTCCAGATTTACAGTCTCATGAATGGCCTATAAGGGCAAAGGCTCCCACCCTTACTGGGTCCCAGAGGAGTACAAGGGTTGTGGTAGGAGACGGGGTCAGAGGTTGCCGAGAAATGTCAAGAATCAGAAGGTGCCATATTCAATCACTGTATGGATGCTCTACTTTGAGGCAGCTGTGGCTCTGGGTCCAGTCTGTAGATGAGACCTTTGTGCTGAAATATGCTTAAATTGATTTCCATAGACAACCCCTGTTCAGTGCCTGTTGACATACGTTTACATGGTGTTAGCCAGGGAGGGTTTTACTCCCTCAGTTACTTTTTCCTTCATAATGCATTGATGCCTGATTAGAAATCATGCAATGATCTTGCAGAAAAGCCATCTCTCGGCTACATTTGCGTCTGCATCTGCCATGACCTTGGCTTATGCCCTTCTATCTTCTCATCTTCAGCTAGTGCTGCCTAGCTTCCTGTTTTTATATCTTCCTTTTTCTAAGTAGCATGTTGTCTAAGGCAGCCATCACAATACAACCTGCAGAGTGCAGTAGCTGTAAAACAGAAAGAGCTGTAGAGACGGCAAGCCTGGATAAAGCATGTGATTATTTTCAGAAAACTTTTTTTGCCAATCCCTTCATTAAATTGATGACTACAAGACTCAATTCAGACCTTTAATACTGCCCAGTTATCAAACTGAGTTTGATAACTGGGCAGTATTAAACCCTAGTCCATTTATTCTCTGACTTCCCTAGACAACTCTTTTGGACCTTCTGTGAGATCTTTAACCCTCACGACATCTTTATGTTCCTCATGATCTGGCCTTATTTTCCCTCTCCAGGTGGTTTTTCTTGTAAATAACCACTTCCTATCCCCCTCAACCTGGTTTCAGGACTATATTCATTTACTGAGCATATCATGCTCTTTATAAGCCTCTGTGGTTTTGCCTGCACCTTAAATGCTACCTCCACACCCCAGTGGCTAACCAAGAGCCTTGTTCCAACAGGTGTTCAATGAATGCTTGCTCAAGAAATTGGAGTCATAAATTGATTCTTGCTCTTGTCATTCCATAAAGAAGTTTAAAATATTTCAGTTCAATTTTATACAGGATCATATGGGAATATTGCTAAAATTCTGAGAAGCTATACAAGCAGAAACAGGAATGTGCAGTTATTTTTAACATTGTGGATATATATTTTTGTTCTTTTTAATGAGTTTGAACTTAACCAGGTGCAAACTATCTGCTGTTTTTATTTGGAAACGATGGAACATCCAGCTGTTTGGAGAAGAAATGTGTTTGAATCACATTGATTTTTCTTTAACATGCCAATATAAACTTAAGATTTTCTTTTTGCAATAAGTTGAGTTCTTTTTATGGTGGATTATCACATTATTAATTTTAATATAGCACTTTTGCCCAAATAGTTCCCCGAAAGTAGCATTTGTTTGATTTTAAATGAACTTTCATGTTGCACCAGCAAGACACAAAGAGGTGATAGCATTAGACTCATTATGCTTTTATTTTACTATAATACTCTTTGTAAGAGATGATAAAGCTCATCCTGAACTTATAATTAGAGCATTTGAGGTAATCCATGCTTTGATGTGATTTTAAATGATAAGTACCAGTTACAACACACATGTCACTGTTCCTTTTTACTCTTATGAATTTCTTTTTTTTTCCATGATGTTTTAATTTTGATACCAATCAGCAAAAATCCAGAGTTCGTACAGACCAGTAATATCTATGGGTCTGAACACATTTGGAAGAACAGGTGGTCTTCTAGCTTCAGGGTAAAAATATATACTGTAAATTCACATATTTCATATATAAATGATTTTTATTTTCATATTCCCATTATTACAACTTAGGTCTGGAATAATTCCCACTTATTGTCTTGAACTCAGAAAAATTTTCCATGGTTACTCATACTGTATCTTGCCTGTGTTTCCATGCGCCATTCATTTTAGACAATGGGAATTACGTCTTTAATTGATCTCTTCTTCATTTAGCCACAAGATGAAGATCCAAACTGATCTTACTTTTTTTCCCACCATTATATAATTGGCTTTTTGGCACAACATTGATGTAGCCAAAAAATGTTCAAACCTTTCTCTAAGACACATCTGTTTAGCTTTCCAGTGTGAAACTTGACTTGATCATTTCATTTACTTATATTTTTTAGGTGTTTAATTTCCTTTAAACATTTATTCCTTCCATAAATGCTTTTTGACCTCCTGGTATATGCTGGTGGACATTCGGCTGGATACAGTTGCTTTAGAAATAAAGGGCAACACATTTTCTTTAAAAAAGTAGATAGAAAGGTTAAAAAAATTTAACATATAATGCAGTCAGTAGGGAAATGAAGATACATATAAAAATTACCTGACCTGACCTTCTCATTTATCTCTTTTAGGTCTCCTATAGGGTTTGAATTAATTTATTATGCTCAGCATGGTTTATGGTTCCACATAGACAACAGTGATTAATAGCTACACACAGTTGAAATAGGAAAGAGAAGGGGTACATGGCTGAGACGTTTCAGAAATGTCTAGAATGGTGGTGGTGGAGTGCAGCCTGACTTTGGGACCCAGGGTCTCCTTATCCTATGTCAGTGGTGCTCCAAGTGTGTGCTAGGGACCATCACCTGGGAAGTTGTTAGAAATGCAAACACCAGTCCCCTCCCTAGACCTACTGAGCCGGAGACTGAGCCAGGACTGAGCAACTTGTGTCTAAAAGACCCTCCCTGGGGTTCAGAGGCCCACATTCTGACCTCAGTGATCACTGGTATTAATGTTGTTCCAACATCTTCCCCAGTGCACATCTCCATCTGAAAAACTATCAAATCCAGAGTCAAACCTGCCTTCGCTATAGTTATGAGGCCCAAGAACCAGCCTGCAGCCACATAGCTCCTTGAGTGGTGGGAGGTTATATCACTAGGTGACCCCTTTAGGGAGAGCCTGCCCCAGACTAACCCTTCAAGCCCTGTCTAGATTCCCCCAGCTTCCCGTGTGTTCCTATTTTGTGTCACCAAAATCTCATAGGTAAACCAACTTAAATTATATCATATTTAGTCCTATCTAATTGGTGGTAGGATAAATAGAACACGTGAGTTCAAGGAGAGTGATAGGAATTAAGAATAAATTTAATTTTAGATATTTTCATCGAGAAGCATGCTGGTGATGTTAGTGACATGACTTTGAATCCATGAAAGGCCGTTTTCTGTGCTTGATCAATTCCATTTCTAATGCTAGCATCCTGAAAGTGTGTGACCGTCATCGGCCTGGTAATCTGCATACACCAACTTGATTTTTTACTTCCTAGAATGTTTAGCATGTACACACACCTGTACAACTATTTTGTTAATATAGAATTTACTTTTAAAATGTATTTCTAAGTTGTTTTTAAAAATTTTTAAACATGTTTGCTTGGTAATAGGAGGACTACACACCTTAGCTTAATCAAGAAACTCTGGCTCTTCCCTGGCCTCTTAATTTTCTTCTGAGAGAAAAGGAAGGCTTGCTGTTTTCCAGCTCAAAGTAAATACACTGATCTTATTTTTTTTATTTTGTATGCCTTCTCAAAAAACAACTTTGATCACAGTGCAAATACTTCTCAAAAATTAAAATACCGGGAAGTTTTTTGTGAGCCTTTTTCTATTTATTAGGATGTTATTTAAAGTTGAAAAAATTAGTGTAAATGCTCTCTGGAGAATATAAATGCTTCCATGAAGATAGTTGGCATTTCCTAGGAAACTCCAAAGACTATCATCTATCAATCCATCTTTCCACAAATGTTTGAGAAATGCCAACTGCATGAAAGGTCTAGATTCTAGATGGATTGGAGGTGACACATTGATAAATACATATGAGAAGTTAGATGATGAGATTAATGATAGTTTCCTGTTGTATATCTTATTTTTAAGTTTAATTTTATTATGGTCTATTTGATGATTAAAAAACATATGTATCTAAGGTGTACAATTGGATGACTTCATGTACATGTACAATTTGAAATAATCACCAAAATCCAAACTAATCATGTATCCATCATTTCTTTCCTTCCTTCCTTCCTTCTCTCCTTTCCTCCTTTTCTTTTATGTTTTCTGATGGAGGGATGGTTAAGTCATATCCTCTTAGCAATCCTCAAATTGTATAGCATACAATTTGATACTCTTTCAACCTGATGCAGGAGTGGAAAGAATCATCACCCTCATTTTTGAACAGTGAAAGCGAGACTTGAGTTTTGCAGACGAGTGACTTACCCAAGGTCGTGCATCCCTGTCCTAAGTTGGCAGAATCATGTTGAAGACAGGCCCTCAGGACTCCTGAGATAGAATTTGCTTAGAATGATTTCACATTACCCCTTATAAAACAAAACAACCACTAAAGACGGTGCTTGATGAATCTGTGAGCAATATAACTATATAGCAGAATGATGCTTTGTGGCAGTGAAAGTTTGGAAATTCCCTTATGAAGGAGAAAATGATGCATCTGGTTTGGAACCAACTTATCTACACTTGAAAGAGCCTGCTGTTGGGGGAAATGATCTCACCAGTGATAAAAGGAGGAAGTGGGTGGGGGAGGCCCACAGTAGATCAATCATCCCCACCCTTGGACTTGGACAGGCTCCCTGACACTGTCTAGCCCTGACCACTTATTTGCCTAGATTCTTGTTAGCTGTCAACACATTGATGCTAAGGAAATTCAGTTAGTTCAAGACAGGTTGTTTTTCCTCTTTTAATTTTTTTTTTAAAATGTGTTCTTTTCAGATACACGCGGCAGGGAGACGACGATTCTCAGTCAAGATCTCTTGAGTCTATTTTCCTTGGATGTTTTTGCTGGTTCTCATTAAAAAAAAACAAAAAACAAAAAAAAAAAACAAAAAAAAAAACAAGGATGTTACCTATTTATTTATTTATGCATGGGGTTAAATATTCTGGTTTTGGTCTACACAGTGAAAAATAGCATTATTGCTGAATGTCAAAACAATCAGACCTGATTACCATTCAAGTCTTACTGTGCAAAGGCAGCACATGACTGTTGCCTGGGACTCCTGAAGATCTCAATGTCTGGCTCCTTCCTTTTTCTTCAGAGCCCTGCACCTTAAACAGTAGATGGCAGTGTGAGATGGGGAATTTAAACCTTGGCAGCTGTTTGCTTGAAACTAGCCCAGGAAAAATGGCTTTTTGACTTGGAAGCATTTATGAAATGAACTTTCAGGCAGAGTTTTGTCTGGCCGCCAGGATCTCGCCCTGGAAGGTGCTGGCAACCCACAGGTGAGCCTGCGCGAGGGCTTTGTTTGAACTGGAGCTGTTGCCCTGCTCGGAAGCAAGATGGGGTGCATTTGGGCACAATGCATTGTCACTGAGCCAAGGAAACCGCTGTTTCACCGTCCAGGCAAGCCTGCACCCCAACCCGCCCCTTCCTGGGGGAGGTACACCTCCTCCTTTTCCTTTCTGGGAAATTCATGGTGTTTAAATCTATGAAATAGAGACTTTGATGTATCTAATGTATTAATGCTGCTTCAGGTTTTCAGTTAATCATCACTTTCCTTTCTATCCTAAACCTGTTAAAAATCAGAGGCTTTTTAAACGGAAAAGAAAATTAAATTATTTATGGGAGAATTTCTCAGTAAGTTTGAAAGGACACCACTCCTCGTGGCTTATCAGATATGGATTTTGTTTAGAATCTTGAATAAATTATGGAAAAGAGGACAGCACTGAAGCTGGTTTGAGTTTCTCTTCTGTTATGGGCTCTTAGCAATCGCAGTATTTTGTATCTGTGGTTTACCCAAACATGTTTCCCTCTAGAACACTTTATAACAAAGTACGTTTAAAGAAGGGAAAAACATTTGACTCACTCAATATTTTATTTAATAGAGAAGGAATTAATAATTCTAAGAGGATGCTTGTATTGCAGGCAGTAATTATAGAATTTAAATCGGGTGCATAATCTGTGTATCCTAAGGTTGGTGATTCTTCTTCTTCTTAGACCTATGTAAAAACTCCATTTCCTTACTTTTGGATATAATTTCTAGACCTGTTAAATCTCAACTCTTGTGTAATGCAACCCACATTATTCCACAGTGTTAAGCTCCACTTTCTTCAGCCGTAAAAGTGGAAAATAGTTTTTATTTGCTTCACAGAGCCCGATATACAGTAAGTGTTGGCCATTTATAATTTATCCAGATATGCAAACTCATTAGCTATGATTGTTATTATACAGAAATTAGTGTAGGCATATTGTCAAACAAAATTGCTTTTCCTACTTTACAAAATAATTCAAAAAGATAGAGAATATTAACACTACTCTAAACCAAGCAAAATTAGGCAGGTAAATTTTCTGTTCAAAATATAATTATAGAAAAGTGCAGAAAAATTTGGAACCACTAGTAAGAACACTCATTATCGTAAATATGGTTAAAGTGAGAAAAATAGAGTCTTACACAAGTCTCCATACACATGGTATGTGTGTGTGTGTGTGTGTGTGTACACACACATGTATTTTAATACATTACTTCAACAAGTACTTTGGTTAATGAGGGGCATTTTCAGGATGTAGGGCAAATAGAAGCAGGAAAATAAAGTATGAGCAGAAGTCACACCCATCTCTTCCTTTAAATAGGCAGGCCTTCCTTTTGTTACATGAGGCTGGGGCAGAGTGTGAAAGGGTAGAAGGGAGTTTGGACTTAAAAATAGTAATCACCTTCATGAATCCAAAACCTTCCCTTGAGAAAACCGTTTAGTGAGCAGCTCGTTGTGGATTTGGTGAATGTGAACTGAGAGCAGTTGCCCCACAGGGTCGTGGTGAATTATCAAGATATTTTTTTCTGTCATAGGTGAACTTGTCATTAAATGTGGTACCCACATTTAATCCCAGTGACTCAGGAGACTGAGGCAGGAAGATCGCTAGTTCGAAGACAGTTTTGGCAAATCAGCAAGACCCTGCCTCTAACAACAACAACAATAACATTTAAAGAGATGGGGCAGTGGTCAGTGGAGAGTCCCTGGGTTCAATCTCAGTAACACACACACACACACACACACACACACACACGAACCAAAAAATAACAAAACCAGAAGTTATTTTCCAACACTATCTCTTTTACTTTTTCACATTTTCTTCAAGTTGTTCATTGATTTTGCTTTTGTTAAACATTAACTTTGCTAAGGTCCAGTTTCTTCTCCTGATTCTTCCAAGATTTGAGATCTTGGGCAATTTGCTGAACATCTGTGTTCTTGCCTGCAAAACAAAAAAGAAAAATAAAAGAATGATAACATCTCAGGTGACTGTGAGAAGAAAGTAGTTAATACATATAACACCCTTTAGCTCAGTGTTGGGCACAGAGTACGTTTTCATTCAATAGGCAGCCAGAGTTAAAAAAAAAAAGGATGCTTTGACATTTAGAGAATTAGAAAACTATTGCATATTCTGACTAAAAACAGCTCAGAATTCATTATCTTCCTCCCCTCTTTTTATACTTGAGGAACATCAAGCTAGAAGATTTAAGTAAACCTTGGTAATATGGAATGAATTAGTCAGAGGCCTTTAATGATAAAGATTGACTCACACAATTATGGACACTGAGAAATCTCAAGATCTGCAGTCACAAGCTGGAATCCAAGATCGCTGCTGGGTAGCTCTGGTAAGAAGTTTGGCAGGCTCAGGACCCAGGGAGAGCCCATGTTTCAGTTGAACCTGAAGCAAGAGAAGACTGACAATGTCACTGAAAGCAGTCAGGCAGGAGGAGTGCCTATTACTAATAGGAGGACTAGCCTATTCAGGCCTTCCACTGATTGGATAAGGCCCACCCACTTGGGGGGGCAACCTGATTCACTGGGTCTATAAATTCAAATATTATCTCATCTAAAGATATTCTCACAGGAACACTCAGAATTATATTTGTTCAAATGTTGGGACCCCCTTGACCCTGTCAGGTTGACATATAAAATTGATCATCACACTGATATTTATGTTGACATGTAAACTTCCAAAATAGTCAAAGAAAATTTGACAGGACTTTGTTGTCCTATTTGCTAAAGTATAACATTTGTATTTTATCTTAAACAAGTTTAGGCTTTTCTTTTGCTTCAGATAAATTCACATTCTTCAGGTATCGCAATGAATGCTGTTCTGTCAATACCTTCCTAGGGTTTTGCTGGGGTAATGTGGACTTGAAACCAAGCAGATCCACATGCAGAGCTATTTCCTACAAGAACCCTATTTGTGGCAGGGCATGGTGGTGCATACCTGTAATCTCAGTGTCTGGGGAGGCTGAGGCAGGAGAATCATGAGTTCAAAGCCAGCCTCAGCAATTTTAATGAGGCTCTAAGCAACTTAGAAAGACCCTGTCTGTAAATTTAAAAAATACATATTAAAAAGGGCTGGGGATGTGGCTTGCTCAGTAGTTAAGCACCCCTGAGTTCAATCTCCTGTACAAAAAACCCCCACACCCTTATTTGTACTTTCCTGGTATTGTCTCTGCCTTTAAAGCAGAGTAAGGAGGGCACAACCTTTACCTTTTTCTCTGCCTTATGGAAAACTAGAAATTGTGACCTGTCTTGAGAGAACTCTGGGATGAGAGCTCAGAGAAACCATAAATCTCATCACCTGGATTTGAGAACCCATTTGACAGTGGGGAATGGGGAGAAGGGGTGTGTTCAGCTTTGCCAAAGGAAATGCACTGTGGTGACATTGGGCTCTAGAAGTATAAGTTAGGGACAAAAATCAGTAGGGGATGTATGATGAATTACCAGAGCTAACAGGTGATCAATGTTATTCATCACAAGACCAGAGAACATAACCCAGGGGCCTTGGTCGCACCTCAGGGCAGTGAACACAGCTCCAGATTCTTTAAGGGGAAGGAATCCAATGTCCTAACAGAGGTTGACTTGCTTGGCAAGAGTGGAGGCCAAGTTCTACACCAGGCTTTTCTGAATATCTTCTTTTCAACCCTGTGGGTGTTGGGCTATATTCTGTCAGTGTCTTCAGACTGAAAGAGTTTTTAATTATTAATTCTTTTTCCATGTTATCATTCCTACTGGTAATAAAAATGAATTGTATACCTACATTAACACATTTCTTGGCATTTTGGAGTTTTGATCATGTTTCTACTTAGTAGGAAGACTTATTGTCAGAATACATATAGAAATGTATTTAAAAGGTTTAAATACATTTATCTAATGAGTCATAGTTCTTTAAACCTATTGGGAATATTCTTGCTATATTTTCTGTAACTTTATTTTTGATCCTTGTTCATTTGATATTTATTGTTTTTATCTTGTGGGTCTCACTAACAATACATAATCAAAATTGGAATCCATTTTAATAATGAACAGAGACAGTAAATTCTTAGATTGTTAAAACACTTTAGAAAATCATTCCATTATTTTGAATACTTTTAAAGTACAATTATTTCAACTGAGATAATGATAAAGTAATGATACCACTGTGAATGATTCCTATAAAATCCATTTGAATTTTTTACCAATATCTATCCAGGTACTTAAATTAATTCCATCAGTTAAATATATACATATAAACATGTTTGAATATATAGAATGAAATGATAAATGTAAGATATTATATAGACATTTATTAAAATACATTGCTTTAGGATTTTCAGAGTGTTTAAATACTCTCACATGTGTTTATTGCATGCTTGAGATAAGAGTCATTTATTTTTTCCAAACTCTACCCTATGAAACTGAGTAAAAGACATTGTTCCTGCCTTTAAGGGGCTCATATTCCACTACTGCAGACAGAGGAGTAAGGAAATAATTGAGATGTAAGAAGACTGGTATGATAATAGATGCAGAAATACAGTTCTTCCCAAGCAGAGGAGGAAGCCATAAATTCTGTGTGGTGCAGTGGTCGTGAGTCAAGGAAGCCTCTGAAGGCAATTTAGTATCCTGAGCTAAATAGCAAAACTGAGGAGTTACCCAGGAGGAACAATTGGGGAAAAAAAAATTCCAGGGAGAGGAATCAGCAGGATGTAGAGGTATTGGAAAAATTAAAATTTGGAAACAAAAGGGGAATCAAGATTCAAATCTGGAAAACAAGTACCAGAGCCAGAGAGTAGAAGGCCTTAGTCAAGATGAATTTCCTATGGGAAATGGGCATCCAGGGGTGGCTGAATCTCATTTATCATCTTGCTACTTAAAGAAGGTAGGAAATGCAAACAATCTCACGTTTACCAAAGGTCACCCAGTTAAAGAACTATCCAGCTTAGTGCTGGTCTTCTAGTTCACCATCCTGTGTAGATCCGTTATCTCAGAATGCTGGGCTGACTTGAATTAGTGTTCCAGTGAGTCAAATAATGAACAAGAGTGGGATGGAAAGACCAGATTTCTGCTGCTGTACCTTCAGTTTCAAAAACAGCACCAAGTTCCAAACTGTTGTAACCAACAAATAACAAACATTTTATTGGGCAGTTCCCAAGTATCAGATACTCTTTCAAATTCTTTCACATGGATTAGAGGATTAAAGCACACACTCTTAGAGGATCACGTTACATTTTTGATGCAGTATTTTAAAAATTATTGCTAGTCAAGGAAAAGGTAATATGATCTTGAAGGTTCTGGAGAATTTCATCTAATGTGCTCAAATGACACATTTTGATGAGAAGAGATTTAGAGAATGAGGGAATGGGTTTGTCTTCAAATATTTGAAAACCTATCAGGTAAAAGAATGGACCTATTTTTTTGAGAATAACTTACAGAAAGTTTACCTGGGGTCAATGGGAGTGTATTATGAAGAGTTCTGATTTGACTCATATATAAAAACCATTTTCTGACAATTTGATTTTACCAACAATAAAACAGGTTGGTTTAGGATGAGATAAGCTCCCATTTACCCACGATATTTACCCAAGAGCTAGAGGGTCATGGATCCTTTAGGAAAAGATCGATTCCTTCCTTCCTTCCTTCCTTCCTTCCTTCCTTCCTTCCTTCCTTCCTTCCTTCCTTCCTTCCTTCCTTTTCTCCATTTGATATTGGGGACTAAAACCAGGAGCACTCTATCATTGAGGTACACTCCAGCCCTTTTTATTTTATTTTGAGACAGGGTCCAGCTAAGTTGCTAAGGCTGTCTTTGAATCTGTGATGCTCCTGCCTCTGACTCCCGAGTAGCTGGGGTTACAGGTGTGTGCCACTCTGATCAGCCATATTCATTCTTTGAAAGTCAGATTGAATGATGTCATACCAATGGCTCTGTGAGACCAGTTGGAATTTTCAAGAGAGGCATACACCCATACGTTAGTCCCCAATATGTTTGAAAGCACTTGGCCTGTTTCCAATCAGTTGGAACATCCGTTAAAGCGGGGGAGGGGGCTCGTTGTCCTTTTCTCGATGTCCTTTCCAAGTCAAAGCAGATTATTGATAGTTTCCTATACTGTCTGTTCTTCTGTTTATGAGGAATGACTCAAAGGAAGGTTTGCTTTAATTCAAAACAAGCAGATTGCTGTGTGTGGAATGGGCTGCCCATGCTTAGATGTGGCCCAAGAGTGCTCACTGGTCCTCAGTGATGCTCATCAGGTGTTGCTTTATCTGAACACCTGGTGATTCGGGCCAGGAACTCTGGCTACAGACTTTCAGATCACTCTATGGATGGATTATAAATTTTCCAGGAAAAAAAATCATTATAAGGCACCCAGAGAAACTGATAGTTTAGCAAACCATTAAATTGCAGAGTGGAGTCTCTGGCTTGGGATACTCATCGCAGGACAATTACACCTCTGAAGCAGGAGCCCCTCTTGGGGGAGGCTCTGCCTCTAGATGACATAGCTCTGTTTTTCTGAGGAGGTACACAAACTAAGGGCTATGAAACATTAAGTTTGGAGGACACTTTTGTTCTATCTCCTCTTTTCTCATTTGAAATGTGATGGACGTACCTAACCTGCTCCCATTCCTGGATAAAGGGAATTAAAGATAAAAAAAACCCTGTAGTCATTAAATGATGTGGATGCCTGAGAGGGTGACCCTGGCTGGACACATGTCCTTCTGTTCTCCACCACGCTGTTGAATGTAGAACTGAGACGTTCTAATCAGACCTGCTAAAGCTCAAATACTGGTGTTTTTGTTCTTTTACTGGTAGAAAGTAGAAGAGAATTCAATTGTCTTGGAGCTAGAGGGTTTAAGACCATCTGATGGAGTGAAGGTCTCCATCTTCTTTGGTACATTGGACAAGCGGCGCTGGAACGTCATTCATGGTTTTCTTGACATGGAAACTAAATTGTTAGGTGAGAAAATTTTTAATTCTTGAATGTCTTTCTTCTAATATTCTAAGCAGGGTTTACAGAGGAAAAAATAGGCTTTCAATATTGGGGATTTACAAAAATTTGAATAAGATTTTTATTTGGATTCATTTATATTCAAAACCAGAAACTAAAGCTCTATATCTTTAAAGCAATGGGTTTATTATGCCATGGATTGCATCAAAGGTTTATAGGTGGGGTTGTAAAAAGACTTATCTTTGGCTACTATGTTACAAAATGAGCAATCTTTTAAAACATATGTTTTCTGAGCAGTATTTCTATACACATAATCTTCACCTGTTTGTTCCTACAAATAAGCTGCTTCATTTTAAAATGTTATGTGGTAAATCCCTAGCTTTCTATTCTAGAAAGGGTCTGGTAATAAGTTTATCTTCTCCTTTTGGGGAAAGGAGAATATTCTTTCCTGAGTCCAATTTCGCTGAAGTTCAAGATTGTTAGCAAATAGTGGAGTGGCTACAGCCTTGGGCATGGATTCCGTATACATGGGTTCCAATGTCCTCTCTGCCACTAACAGCCTGGGTAACAGGATACAAATCACTACCTTGATGGGCTAGGTTTTCCTTTCTTTTCTTTCTTTTTTTTTTTTTGTTTTTCATCAGTAAGAATTGAAAAGTGGTTTCTACTCTCCCTGCAAACCCTAACGTCTATGTTATTATATTGACAATATCTTCAGAATCTTACGCTTGAATAGAATGTATTATATGACATTTAGGGCAATAAAAAGAAAGAAGGATATAGCTATCCCTAAGTCATATTTAAACATATACTGCCTCTCCTAGTGGAAAAATAATATCAAAGTAATTTACATACGGAAATATAGCTTCACAAGCTTTTTATTTGTTTTGTGGATTTTTTCTCAAAACCATTTTTAGCAAAACGTGCTGGTTAAAAAGAAATGGGGAAAGGTCAGTGTCCTTTTAGAATATGTCATTTGTCTAAGTTCTGGCCAAGAGTTGATGATTTCTTGAGGTTTTCTGCTTTTGCTGCTTTTAGAGATTTTTGTTTACTTATTTATTTTAGGTTTATTCTCCTAGGCTTTTCTTCCTGGGGAGAAAAAAAGAAATCAAAAGGAATAGATAATTATCTAGGTAACAAATTCCCATTTTCTAAATGCTGTAATAGATTATTTTGCATCCTTTCCTTTTTCAAATATACCTTTGGTTTTCATAGCAAGGATCTACCTTGAAGCTCTTTGTTTCTTCTGCTTTCAGCCCAAATTATCATTTAGTATCAATGGCAGAGCCCCTCTACCCCAACCCCTTGGAGGAAGTTGGTTTGTAAATGTTGCAGCAATCACATGCATTAAGCTGTAGATGCTGAACCTGAGAAGCACCTAACAATTTCTAGCCCTTGGGGACTTTTTCTGGCCTTCCTCTGTGACTTTGTTTCCTCTTGAATTTAAGTCATGCTCTTTCTATTTCCATATCCTGATTCCTCTTTGAGAGTCAATTGATGCGCAGATGCTTAGGCTCATTTGCAAACCCAAGGATCACCTGTGGGATGAGATGTGCCTGCATCACCTGGCTTTCTGTCATCCTCACCCGGTGTTGCCACCAACACCCTGTTTCTCTGCCTTCACTCTCCCTGATTCACTCCAAGTTCACATTCCTGCTCACTGCATCTGTTTTTACTACTTGGAAAAGAACAAAGTAATCGTTCTGATCCCCATAGGGGTCAATTACCTTTCCTTGGTTCACCATCACATATTTCATCTCCAACCCAAGCTGCCATTTTGCACGTGGCTTGTTCAATTGCAAAAGGGGAAGGGTGGGTGGACTGGAGTCAGAGGGGAAGCAAATATTTTGAATAGATTTATACAAATCCATCGGTGCACCTGGAAAAACTGTATAGCAGAATAGACAGAGCATAGGTATTAGAATTAGAAACCAGCATTTGAATGTAGGCTTTGAAACACATTAACTGTTTGCCCTTAGGAAATTTTGTAACTACTATTAAGAACTTGTTTTTTTATGTATAAAATATACATAGTAATAAAAATATTATTGGATTACTGTATTAAACAAAGAAAATAGATAATATATCGAAAGTCCCTAGAACTTGAGAAGGGCACTAAATAAATCATATCAATTAGTATTGTTGATGCTGTAATAAGTTAGTCATATTCCTTTATTCATGAGAAAATAGTTTCATCCTCAAAGCAATTTGACAATCATTCACTAAACACTATGCAGATTCTCTAGTCTGGGTAGGGAATATAAAAGTGGAATGAATTATAACTTTTAATCTTCCTGACATCTTCTGCTCTGAAAAATCCAGTATTTTAGCAAGATATTCAAAGCTTTGTTAATTTGTTCTCAGCCAGTTTTCCAGCCTCCACTCCCACCCCCCAAGATAGTTTGCTTTCAAAGGGGGGATTCTCATATACATGTGATTCCTTGTGTTTTGGGGGGCTGAAGATGGGTCAGAAGGAGGCAAATTCTAACTCACTGTAAGACCTAACATAAATGGAACCTTCCCTCTGCATTCTTTCTTGACCTGCCCTTCTATGCCATCCTCACAAGAAGAATGGTTTACATCAGATACACAGCATTGCAAGCCCTTCATAAATTTTGCTCCCCTGCTTTGTGTCTCTCTAATCTGTCCCTGCTGTAAATTTCAGCTAGCAAGATCTCTATCTCAAAAAACCTACCTACAAGAAGCAAGAAGAGAATTCAAGCTCCATTACAGATGTTCCTATATTTACATAGGGTTATACCTGGATAAACAGATTGTTAGTTTAAAATATAATTATAAGTTGAACATTCATTGCATACACTTCATCTACCAAACACACTAGCTTTGCAGAAGCACTCTGTAGAGTGCCAGTTGTTTTCCCTAGTGACCACAGGGCTGGCTGCTAGGGAGCTGCAGCTCACTGCCATTGCTCAGCGTCACCAGAGAGAATCGGAAGTGCATTTGGCTAGCCCAGGAAGAGGTCTAAGTTAAAATTCTAAATACAAATTCTACTACTGTATTGTTTTTGCACAACTATGAGACTTCTTCAGTTGAATCATGATTAAGTCAGGGATGGTCTATAATTTTTTCTTTGACTTGGACAAGTTCAGAATCTGTTTTTTTTTTTGTTTGTTTGTTTTTGTTTTTGTTTTTGTTTTGTCTGTAAATGGAAGTTGTCAATGAGGTATATAACTGAGCAGATCTTTTGTATAAAGCTTTAGCATATAACAGGAGATGGCTTTTAAAACATGATCATAGTGCTCCATCTCCTCCTATAAAAGACGTCTCCTTTTTGATTCTCTAACTGGGATTTATAGGTCTAATGATATACCTCCCATCTCATGGAAACCTAAAGCTACAGGCTGCAGTGAAGAGTTACAATACAAGATAACAAAATAAAGGATAAAGCAGACCGATTGATTATTCCAGTTCATTATGATAGAAATTTCAGGACAAGGTTCCAACACAACAAGAAAGGAACACAGCGTTCTTCATTCTGGCTGGTGAGTTTTATGTTTCTGTTTGGCTTTTGGAGAGTAAAACTGCTAATCTATTGGAAGAATGAGTCCAAATGGAGAAATGAGGAAAATATTTGTTAAAAAAAAAAAAAAAAAAAAGTAAATTTGAGCCAAGATGTTAAATACAGAGTTTGTGTCTGGGTCTGAGGTGCCTGGTTCAAGCATTTGAATGGGGTCGTGCATTTTAGGAGATCACATGTCTTTCTTATAAATGGAGTGAACTGCAAGGTGTGGGGATCTAAAAACCTCTGGTAGTTTTCAGTTGCATGCTTTTCATCAAAGGATTGGAGTTGATTCAATTAATATGGCCCCCCACTGAGTTCCATTTTCATCTGAACCCACGTGGCAAAGCTGTAAATGATACGTGCAAATAAGGATTTATCTCTGGGGAAAGGCTTCTTCACAGCAGCGCCTGCTCTCGCTCTGTGAGCTGCGAACCCTGTGCTGAGCTGGGTTTCAGGGCTGTGACCCCAAGAAAGGGCACTCGTCTTGTCTTTTTCAATGTTAGTGTCAAAATATTCCACTTTCCAAATATTTGAAGAACAAGATGAGACTGTGAGTGATGGACTTCTGTTAAAAATCAAAAGAGAGATTGTCTATTTTAAGAATTCTGCAGAAAGCATATACTGTTCTCTTAATTTTGGTGGAGGGGATGCATCAGAATGTCTGTTGACTCAGGTGCCATCAGACCCAAGCAAACGTCTTACACTCAGCTCAAATTGTTGTAGCTATTGTATTTCGATTAAAATTAAATTTCACAAAAAAAAAATGAAGTTAGAGTGGATTTTACCTCAAAATGATTCATTTCTCTCTATGGAAAAATATTTGTCAAGACTCAGATAAGATTTTACATTAGTTTTGTAAACAAAGAAAATGTAATGCCAAATGAATATTTTTTATATGGTTCATGAGTCTTTAATTTCTTTGGTGTTAGGCAGTACATCTAATCATGACATAGAGCCTCCTGAGAGTCAGTGTGCTTTTGGGTTTTTTGCATTTGTAATCTGAAATATCACAGTCATGTAGAAATTTCACTGGGGGCCAATGTCTGTCTAAGGCATCAATTCATATTTGCCACTGAATTTAAGGTGAGAAAGCATTTTGACACACAGTGTATATGATAATGGGCTCTAGGACAGGCAAATTAAGGCTCAAACTCAGTTCTGTTCCTAGGGAACTCTGCTATCTTGATAAGGTTCCTTATCTTCTCTGGTCTTCACCTTGACCATCATAAAGGGGCATTCTGATGCTACCTTGCTGGGTGATTTTGAGAATTACGTATCTTACGAAGCTTAAGTGTCCTCAAACACTACCTGGCCCATAGAAACAACTTCTGAGTTACAGGGTGGTCTTTGAACCAGCAGCATGAGCTTTACTGGAAAAATTGTTAGAAGTGCCAGTTCTCCACCCTACATCAGACCTACTGAAACAGAAATCTGGAGCGGGGTCCAAATCTTTTCATTTTAACAAAACTTCCAGATGATTATGATGCACACTCAAGTTTGAGACACCTACATTGTGTGGTGAACTGTATGAGGACAGTTATGTTTAATGTTCAACGGTGATGTTGAGTTATCCCAGGAACTTGGTATATGAGGTGGCTCGTATTTTAAACGTGTCGAAATGGGAAGAACAATATTCCTTATATAATCTTCAGTGATGGATAAATGTAACTAAGGATTATTAATAGTTTAATTACCTTCAGAGGTGTTGTACATTATATATCTTGTTTAATGCTTACAATAACTTCAAAAGAGAGGTGCTGTTGCCAATCATGTTGTTCTAAGCAAGGAATGAGGATTATTGAAGCTGCCTCCACAAAAACGTCATAGAACTGAGCTTCAGACCCAAGTTTCAGAAACCTCATAGTTTGTGACACTGACCATCACAATGTTTTATTTTGATAGGATTGATGAACAGACATTCACAATTATGTTCCAATATAACACACACACACGCACACAAACATGTATGCACATGCACATGAAGGTATGTATCACTTCCACAGGTGGTCTTCTGTGAACATCCTCCCTGTCTTCTTCCTTATTCTGGGCCACATAAACCTTTCTCACCTTCCCTCTGGAATTGATCACTATTTGTATTGTATATGAGTATTTACACCCACAGACACTCACAAATACACAGGTATATATGGATATCAATTTCATGAGGGTAGAAATCACATCCGTCTTACTCATCTTTTGTAGCCCTGTGCTTACAACAGTCCCTGACCCATCATTTGAACCTTGTAATTGCTAATTGAATGATGAATGAATGAATGAATGAATCTCTATTAGTGCTGGGAAAAATTTCATCCTCACAGTTCTAGAAACTAGATTCTTTTTTTCTAGTTCTAGTGAGCTGAAGAAATGATGGCTAACCCTTTTTATTTATTTATTTTTTAAATTAAATTATTTATTTATTCTAATTTGTTATACTTGATGGCAGAATGCAATTCATTTCATATTACACATATAGAGCACATTTTTTCAAGTCCCTGTTGTACACAAAGTATTTTCACACTATTCATGTCTTTAGCCATGTACTGAGGGTAATGATGTCTAACTCATTCCTACCCCGTTGAACCCTCCCTTCCCCTCCTCCCCTTTACCCTATCTAAAGTTGCTAACTCTTTATTTGGAAGGCAGATGCATTCACTTTTGCAGTTTTCTTAATATTAATTGATCAACACGTGTAGAAGTCATGGGATCGATGTGACATTTCATTTAACTGTCAATCATATAGACGTAAATTTTTAAGTTGAAGAAGACTATGGAGAACAACTAATCTCTGTGCACATTGGGAATGTGGGCGAAGGGGTTAAGTGATTGTTCATGGTTAAATGCAGGTTAGAGGCTGGACAGAAAGTGAGGCAGGAAGTCCAGTTTGGCTGATGTCTGGGCAGCTTTTTTCTTACCCAAGAGAAAGTGCACCAGCTGTGACTGAGTAGGTCATGCAGCATCTGCAAGGCCTTATGGTCTCTACCCTCCCATAACATCATGTTGAATATTCTGGAAAAATTTACATGGGATATTCTTCTAAACTGACTTTGCCACTAACAAATTGCACAATCGTCAGTAAGTTACTTTAACGTTGTGCCTCAGTTTCCTCATCTCTAAGTTTTTTGGGGAAAAAATAATGTCTACTCCTCAAGCTAATTATGAGGATTGAAAGAGATAAAACAAAACAGTGCCTGACAGATAATAAGTGCCTTATAACTGTCAGCAATTCTCTTACTCATGAAATTGGGGGGAAGAAACTTTGTTATAGGACATTTTCTTTAGAGTTGGAGTGATCAATGGCTAAAGTAAAAAGCCACCTCAATGGTGAAGTTTGCATAGAACTCAGGTAAACAGTATCTTTATGCAGATAAGCAACGTCTTCCCAATTCTCCTCCATGAGTAGACGAGAAGGTAATATTTTTATGATTTACCTCCTCTTGACTTTTATGAGTTGGGAGTATTAGCTCATATTATTTATTGAACATTTCTGGCCTAGGCAAAATGGATTAAGCCCAACAAAGCTGAGGAGATGGAGTGACAAAAGTTCTTACCAAGAATTTTGAGTTGTAATTACAGATTCCATTTAAAATAATCAGTCCACTTTAAAGGAAGCCATTTGACTGACATTATGTACTTGACACCTGGAGAAGAGAAGTTCAATGACTTTTTAGGTAAGTACATCATTGTCTATGATGAGGAATGTAAATGAAGGTGAAAGCTGTTTGAGAAAATTGATATGGTTCTGAAAATTTATGTAAATATAATCTTTAAAAAATATTAAAATTCTAATATACCTGTGAAGCTATTTACTTACTAAAAATCAGTAAAAGTACATGCTGCTAGTCTTCTCTTCACTCTAGAGCTAAATCTAATTTAATTTTAAAGATGAAAGTACCCTATGGAGAGTATGCCTAGCCTATACATGCAGTATACACATTACGTACTGAGCTGTCTATGCAAACACACCTACATATTTACATATATACATTTGATGCATTTGTATCATATTTAAAAAAATGTATCATGTCCATTGCAAAATAAATTGCTAAACTGACCTGAGGCGATGGGTTTATGTTATTCACTGATCACTAAGCAGTTAGATTTACAGCAGACATAACAGATTGATCAGGTTGAATTGGCAGGAAACAGGCTAAAGCACTCGGGTGGCATTTGCCACTTCCGTTATATTCTCCTAATTAGAGGATTTTAACTAAGCCATTTGCAGGATGGTCAATAAAGGCATTCACATCAGGACTTATTCAAAAATGAGAAGTGTATTTGGAGCATAGCATGGTTGGTCAGAATCTGGCATGATTTTTTTTTTCTTTTAAAAACAAAGAGACAAATCGGGTTTGCTTGTTTGTTTATGTTTTGACGCTGGGTAGACACTTGATTTTCTTTTGAGAATCCAGGAAAATAACACACTCATTTTTATAGGCAGGTCAAGTTTACTTTCAAGATAAAGAGAAAAGACCTACGTTTGAAGGCTGAGCTTGGCTGCCAAGGCACAAAACAAGAACTTGAGAATTGGTTCTGCAGCTTTTGTTTTCTTTTTTTTTTTTTTTAGCAGAAATTGTCAATTACCCATAATTAATATTTACTGAGGACTCGAGGGGTTGCATCAGGTCTGAAGGAATGTCAAACACACCCACAAAAAGTTATGTTATTTCAAGTTAAATATAGATTTGACTGCAGTGTTTTCCCACTAGGACCATATTTTTTCATTCCTTTAGAAATCTTGTTATATATTTTTAAAGAAGGGTCGGCCATATATTCTTTAACTTGTTTCTTTTTTTTTTAACTTCTCCCTGAGGCAAAAAGAAGCAGCGACGACAAAAATAAAAGTTTTTATGATCCTGCTGAATCAAGATACTAAAACATGAGTTAAATGAAGAGGCGTGGTGGTTTTAATGAAGAAAAATAAAACAATTTAAGCGTTGCCAGGTGGAAAATGAGACAATCTCTTTACATGGAATGTGTAGAAGGGGAGGAGGCTCATGGATGCTGGGAAGGCAGTTTCCAATGTCAGGAATTTTTTGCCATGGTCTTTGATCTGCAGTCCAATTTTAGTCTTGGTCTAAAAGGGAAAAAAAAATGAAGAGGAAAACTATTACTTGCTTTAATGAAAAAAGTCTCAGTGAACCAAGGCTAACTATGGGAAAAACAAGCCAGGAAAAAGGGTGTTGATTCACAAAAGCAAGCAAATCTTAAAAACAAAAATCAAAGCAATACAAAAATCCGCTCCCCCCACCCCCTGCTACAAACCAATCCTTGAATAGCTTCACCATTAAATACTTCATGTGCTGTCCATCCAATGTCACATGATTTTGGCTTCATCTGAGTGTCTTTTCAATGAGTACGACCTTCTGTGTTTTGAAGGAGTAGCCATTGGTTCCATCTGCAACCTTTATTAGTCCCTGACTTCAATTTCTACAATCATGGAAGGAATCCTCTGCTGCATTCAAGAATATACTATTTTTTTAACATTCTGTGGATCTTGGTTGATAAAGATTTTGTTCTGACATAAAAGACGTGTTAGAACTGGAAATAAATCTTAGGTTTCTGATTCCGGTGTAGGAAGTAGATAAACATTGCTACCATAGCAAATCCGGTAAGGGAAAGAGATCACATATTTTTTAAACATGCTAAGACTCATAATAATTAAAAATAGAAAGTAAATGGGCTTTGGATGCAGCTGTGTGATAGAGCAGTTGCCTGACATTCATGAAGCCTTGGGTTCAATCTCCACCAAAGCAAAAAAACAAAAAGGAAGCAAACAATACATTTTTTTAACAATGATTGTTACTTGAAAGTATATACTTAGATAAATGACTAATACTATTAAATATTATTTTATTTGGAATCTAAAGACATACTTAGTTGCTTTGATGACTATTTTGCTTATTTGAATCAACAGAATAGATATTGTGATGCTAGTTTTATCAAGGGATGGAGTGGGGAGCTTTTTGTGTGTGATCTTTGCAATTTGTTTCTTTAAGACTTGTGGAGCTGGACGTCTCTGCTGCCATCTTTTGTAATCTTGTTGCTTTTTCACATCACTGCAGTTATCATGACCCAGGAAGGCTGGATGCTTGAGAAGAGGTTTGTTTCTCCCATATTCCATTCACAAATCCTCGTTTTCCCATTTTACTATTTAGCATCAAAGTTTGTCTCTTGGCCTCCAGAGGAACAATTTGGTAGGACCTATGTCATGATGAGAAATTCCTATAGGTCTAAAGTGGTCCATTTTTCTTGGTTTTATCTGAGAGCTGGGTGTCGTGTCGTTTCTCCTTTCAGTTTACTGTAGAAATATGCTCAAGAGTCTACTCCTCATCAGTTCTTCAGGTATTATTTTTCTGTTCTTTTCCAAAGAAAACTTCAATTTCTACAATTAAAAATAATAGCAAATTTGCTGTTTGCAAATTTCCTGACTCTGCGTATGAAAATTCTATTATACCCATTTGTATAGAAAAGGTTCCCACCTTACCCACGCTCGGATCTATACTGCCATCAAAGTAGAAAACCTTCCTCTAACACAGTTACACGGTTTGCAGTCTCTTTTTTCATGTTATTTTTGAGGTTGTAGTTGTTTATCTTCAGGCAGATTCCAGAGTCCGCTCTCACTTCTCTGAATACTCATAGGTTCACTCTAAACAACATAATGTCATTTTCCCTGAACGTCAATAAATCTGATATATTTTGACTATTTATCTCACAGGCAATAAAGATCCTTTGACAAAGTGCATTTCATGAATTAGCTCAAATTACATTTGGGCTCCTTTAGAGCTTCAGAGAAAGGTGCCAAACATTTGATACAACACGACATTCTATTTAACTTCAGGGGAGAACAGAACTTCTGATTCTCTCATTAAAAGAAAAGATAAAAAAGTCTGTTTTGTTAAAAAAAAAATCTTCAGGCCATTTATTTTAATTTATCCGTCACTTTTATTAAAGCATTTCAAGGTGATGTATGTTTCCTGAAGTTTAGGTATGAATCAAAATGAGTCAATATGTCTAAAATGCACATACTTCATTTTTTGAGATCATTTATTGTCCACTATTGATTATGAAGTATTAAAATGAACATGAAAAATCATGAAATACTGCTATAAGCCTTGGCTGCAGCACATTTTACCTTAATTCCTTTTATCTGTCTTCTTTTCCACTTACTAGATGTTTTCTGCCTCCCACAAAACATTTTAGCTCATAGTAAGGATAAGTAAATTACCTGCCAGTTGGAAAAATTAAAACTTGATCTCATTATGATTTCAGTACAGAAGAGTTGTTAGTCAGCTTCAATTACTGTAATAAAATACCTACGCTGATCAACTTGTAAAGATGAAAGGTTTATTTTTGGCTCAGTTTGGGAAGTTGCGGTCCATGCTTCTTTTGGACCTGTGATGGAATATCATGGAAGACCAAAGTTGCTTATGTCCTGGCTAGGATCTGAAGAAAGAGGAAGATCATGCCCCAAATGCTGAAGACCCCTGACTATCACAACCTTTTAAAGGTTCCTCCACCACCTCACAATGCCAGTCTGGTGACTAAGGCTTTAAAACATGGGCCTTTGGATGATGTTGCAGACCAAAGTATAGCAAGGGCTTAATAGCTTCTCCCACCCAGCTTTTCCTGTATCTGACTGTTAAGGTTTGGTTATAAGAAGTTCTCTTACGAGTAAAGCTCTGAATATGGGGGAGGTATGCATTGTTCAGCCAATTTATTGAGTTTTCTTGTGTGTATTTTTCCTAATAACTAGAGCCCTCGAACCAAAACATTAGCCAATGGCATTTCTTGGGAAAGAGGAATTCAAAAATGTGTTCTCTTGTGATGTTTGTCTGCACTCTTTAGAGTTCACAGGACTTTTATAATCAGTACTTTCCTTCTTCTGTCATCATGATCCTCAAATATATTGACAGTAATGGACTAGCAAACTTGTATATGAGTCAGCCTGTTCTTCTAAACTTTGCAAAAAAGTAAGCATAAAAATCTTGACTGGTTTTATTACAGTTTACTCAAATGGCATGCTGTTTTTCTTTTCCTCAAGAAGCTAATAAAAATTTGTTGGGCATCTACCCTGTGGAAATCACTGTGTTTGTTACTGCAGAGGAATTTGGGTTGATGTCATCTCTGGTTCCACCTGTCATCCACTTTCCTGCATATGGGGGTCTCTGCATTTTACACTGTGACTGTGATTGAGGACAGTCCCTCTATGCTGGGAAGAATAAGTCAGTCATTTGTGCACAGGCTTTATCTGGATTAAGAGTTCTGTTTAAAAGAACACATTCCACAGTTGGGAATAGCTAGATATTCTCACCATCTTTACATCCTTGCATGCCATTTTTATGAAAACCACCGTCTGCAAAGCTTGCATTCAGGGGCATTTTCCAGGTCACTAGTAAGATTGAATGTGATTATGAGGGAGTCTCTGGGGACCTTTGCCACAATTTCTTGCTGATTTCTTTCTGGTATAAATATTATTGAACAAATTGGTTAGCTGTTTTTCTTTTTCTGTTATCTGGAAGAGTTTACTCAGAAAAGGCTTATTTCTTTCTTAAATGTTGGAATGAATTCACAGGTGAAGGCTTCTTCTCAGCCGGGATACTTCCTTTGGTGAAGTATTTTAGTAGGAGCCTCAAATTTTTAGCCAAATACAAACTGTCACTTATTCTTCTGTTATTTTCAGGAATCTGTTTTATCAAAAATTTCAAATTCAGTGGCACATAGGATACTGACTCATATTCTGTAGTATATTTTTACTATTCATAGGATTGTTGTGACATACCGTTTTTTTATTCTGGCATTTCTTTAATTTATTTTCTTGTGTATTCTATTGCATTTATTTTATATTTATATATTTAGTATTTTTATATATTAGTTTTATATTTATGTTTTTATATTATTTTTTGTTTTACATATTTTACATATACATTAGCAGAGCAAAGAAAAATCGATTATCTAAATATCTATATTAACAATCCTTACAAAGTATACACCTGAAATATATACATATATAAATACATGCAATATTAACACACACACATATATATATAAATATATACATATAAATATATGTAATATAAATATATATATATATATATATACACATCTATATGCATATATGTGTGAATACATATATTTATATAGGTTTACACACACACACACATAGAGAGTGTGCACTTGTGTCAGGCAAGGGGAACTTTTACTGGTTCCAATCAAGGATTGCATTGCCTTGAGTACAACTTCAGTTTTTCTCAGGCTCCTTTTAACTCTGGTTCTCAATCTCCAAGGAGAAGTCCCCAGAGATTGGGGGATTAACTAAGGTCCCAACCCATTGATGGATTCTGAAACTCTAACATTTATTTTCTAAGTGCTACACAATTGCTGAGATTTCAGTTCTGATGCTTTGCTTCTTTGCCTCTTGCCTCACAGCTGAAGAATTTGGTAAAGGCCTTGAGGGGAAAACCCCAGGAGTCAGGCTCACTGCATTATCTGTTTTGGTCTTCGGATCTCAGCTGCTTTGGAGACTTGGAATTCCAATGTTTGTCCCTTTATTGCTGGGAGGAGGACAGAAGTCAGCTGGCCTTTCAGCCTCCTGTCCTAGGTCTTGCACTCAGATTTTTAACATTTCACCTAAGGCCCCAAATCAGCAAATGCCCCAAGGGAAACGTGGGTCAAAGAAGTTTCTAGTCCCTGGTTCCTTTGTCTACAACAGCGTGGCTCCCCATTTCCTGGTTGTCTCAGCCATGTTGGGATGCCTTCCTATTCACAGCTCTGCATTTTCTCTAACTTTTGTAACTGTTCTCAGCAGGAGCACTGTTGACCTGCCATGGATTCAACACAGCCAGTGGTAAAAATGCTAGCATGAGATGAGGTGTCCCCTAGAAGCTCACATGCCAGACAATGCAGAAGATTTGGAGGAAAAATGACTGGGTTGTAACCTTGACCTAATCAGTGGGTTAATTCCTGGTGGGATCAACTGAGTGGTAACTGGAGGCAGGTGGGGTGTGGCTGGAGGAAGTGGTTCACTGGGGACGTGGCTAGGGAGAGAGTGGAGACTCTCTCTCTCTGCTTTCTGATCATCATGTGAGCTTCTTACCTCCTCCACTCTCTTCCACCACGGTGTCCTACCTCACCTCCAGCTGGGGGCTGAAGAAACTTGGTCTTTGCCACTGAGCCACATCCTTAGTCTTGCCTAAAATTTTTAAAAACTTTTTTTTTATTTATTTTGAGGTCTTGCTAAGTTGCTTAGGGCCTCCCTTAGTTGCTGAGGCCTGCCTGGATGTTATGATCCTTCTGCCTCGGCCACGATGTCACTGGGATTATGGACTTGTGCTGCTGCACCTGGCATGACTGACATTTTTTATTCAGCTTTTCTGAGTGTTGTTTTGTAATGTTAAGACCTCTTTTTAATTTCCAGAAGGTGATTTTGTTGTCTGGCAATTATAATTTCAATGAGTATTGTATTATACATAATAACAGTGAACATAGATTGTGGAAGCGAACTTATTCACGGATAGGTTTCAAAGATACAAAATACAATATACTCTCACATTCATAAGATCCTAATCTATATATTGAAGCCATTCTTGTTACATAACTAATTTTATGAAAACTAATTTTTATTAACAATCCACATATATACTTTTTATATGGGGCTAATCTCATTAAAATAATATTGTTATTACCAAGCCTCTTCCTTTTCCAGTGTCACTTTCAGTAAGTCACTTCATATCTAAATCAATCAGTACATATTTGTCTCACTGATATACAAATTATTTATTCATGTTACTTTAAATAACTTGGAGGAATAGAAAACACTTCAGACCCTGATACTTGATATAGTAATTCACTAACTACACTTTGCCTACATAAATGAGGTATCTTTCACAGGTTCACTGATAAATTCTGAGATCCTCAGAAAAGTGATAATGGAGGAATCAATTGGATTTTCGAGCCAATTAAATATAAACCTAGAACCTACAGATAAAACTGGTGGCTAAGATTAAACAGCTCCATGTTAATTCAGCCAGTAGCAAAATCTCTACTGCCTTTGTTTGAAAAATATTGATTAAATCTGATTGATGGGCTTCATGGATGGAAAGAGAAACCGATTATGGGAATTGGATAGATCAACTCACGAAGCTAGGCTCATTCATTAGGGAGAAGTAAATAAAGTGCTGTTTATATGTAGGCTGCCTGGTTTGCTTTATATATGTTTTTATTTAGAATTTTCAGATTTTTTTCTATTTCCAGTGTACTGGAAGAGTAGATGCTGAAATGTTACCTCTGTATAGAAAATAAAGGGGGAATGGTAATGATTGTATATTCAGTTGTTCCTTTAAGTCAGTTAAATACCACTGCGGGAGGTGTCTCCTTTATGCTCCTGAATGGTTGCACTACATGTGCATTCATCAACATGTATCTCTGAACTTTGTTATTTCATTGACATCATTGCAGCAAATACAAATAATTTATTGATAGAGCTGTTAACAGCATTTTGAGTAAACACAACATGTTATTCTTATTATATGCACTAATGTGACCAATACTGATAGATTCTGGAGCAAGCATCTATGATATGTAGAAGATCATGCAGATATTGGAAAATAAAATAAAATAAAATGCAAATAAAAGCTAACTGTGTCTACCAGGAACCTATGAATGCTTGCCTTACATATCAAAACCCCATCTTCTTCTTTAAGGAAACTACAAGGAAAAAAAAAATCCAGATGTGAATGCTTATTTATTCCTATTCTTTCTTCTCAGCATGTGATGCCATTGTTATTGAAGAATAGCAGAGAACTGAGCCAAATAAATTCAATTGCATCTAAATCACAAAGTCTATTTCTTTTTTTTTTTTTTTTTGCTTCATTTGTACATTGAGAATATGACCACAAGTGGATGGTTAAGGAAGGGACAGGAATGAGCTTCTGATAAAAGAGGGAAGAAAGATCTCGTACGATCTTTCACTTTGTGCGTACTACATCTCACCTTGTTCAGCAGTATGCACGTGAGGCAGCCTTACTGTCTTTCCTTGGTCTATTCCTTCCACCTCTGTGGTAGCTGCCCTGTTCCACTTTCCACTCCATCATGAATGATTCCCCCGTAGAAAGCTACTTTAGTTAATGCAAAATTGTGTTCTGATTGAGGATGTAGGCAAACATAAAAAACACCAGACAACAAATTTTACCAGGAAGTAAGGAGATGAGTCTCTTCTTCCCTTATGCATCTTATAGCACATATAACTTCAGGATAAGCCTTAGATGAAACTCACTGCAAAGGTACAGAAAGTGACTCTCACAACCATGTTTTCTTTCTAAATCCAACACAAGGCCCACTAGCACTCCAGAAAACCTTCTTCCACCTTTATGTCCCTTGATACCACTCACAAGCATGCCCAGAATCTCCGGACACACCTGGAGAGGTTTCTGGCCTGGAGGACCACAGCTTGAAGGATCTGACTGGCACTATTCGTTCAACTGATGCTTAAGAAGAAGACACAAAGACCCATGGATGAGAGGCAGGAAATGCAAACCCTGTCAAGGGTCCACTGATGTGTGGTGTAGTCTGCAGTGTTACTTTGGCAAATGAAATTTGCATGAGATTAGATTTTTTTTCTATGGGCTTGGGTTGTTAGTGGGTGGCCTTCAATTAATTGCAAGTGTAAGGAGCACAGAGGACAAACTACTTTGAGGACTTTCTGGGGTAGATCAGAGCGTGCAGTGAACTGAATGCTTGTGTGTCCCCCTCCCTCCAATTCGAGTGTTGATTCTTGACTCCCAAGAAGAGGTCTAGGAGGTAAGGCCCTGGGAGATGATTAGGTCATGAGCGTCCCTTGTGAATGGGAATAGTGCCCTTATCAGAGAGCCCCCAGAGACCTCCCTTAGATTTTTCTAACATGTGTGAACCTAGCAAGTCTCACCAGACTCCAAATCTGCTGGCACCTCCATCTTGGTCTTCCAGCCTCTAGAACTGGAAAAATAATTGTCTTCTATTTCAGCCACCTTGTCTATGACATTTTTTTGTGATAGCATCCCAAACAGACTAACAGTCACATGGAGGTTAGGTTCAA